GTCAAAAGAAACACTTTATAGCAAAACAACTTTGTTTATTAAAAATCATAGCTTTAAGTATACACGATTACTTCTGAAGACCCTTGTTCTGTTTACCTTTCAGCTAATCAGTGAGACAGACAAAAAATGAACAGAAAATACAAGATTAAGTCATTCACTAAACTACGGTTCTCTCCTGTTCTTTTAGTTACGTCTTATCTGCAGCTATTTTTTTCTAGTTACAGAGCTCTTGAGACTGAAATAAAGATAATAATTTAAAACATACTCTTGTTCCTTTGAAAAGCAACAGTTTTCAGCAACTTTAAGATAACGTCCTATAGACTTTTACCTGGCATATATTTTAGATTTGCCATTAGATCTATTAGAAAATTGATTACCTCAAAATTCTTCAGAGTCTTCCTCCAGAGCATTGGGTCTGAGGGTTCAAGCTGGAACACCCTCAGCATAACAAACAGCAGATGAATACAAAATGTCCCACGGCCACAGCTACAAGTCTGCAAAGAAAAGTCTATCCTAAGGCTCTGCTGACTTGATAGTTACATAAGTAACTTTCCTACATTTAAGTGCATCACAGAACATACAATATCCCTCTAAAAAAAAAAAAAAAGTAGTTTCTGCAAAAGATTTCATAGGTAGGCATAAATATCTTCTTCTATGGCTTTACAGGAAATGTGAATTCCCAAAATATTTCTCAGGAAAATATATATGGAAAAGCAGACAATTATTACACCAGCTGTCAATTGACTTTTAACCAAACTTAAACGAGATGCTCCTGTTTACTCAACAAGAAGGACCTCACTGTGGTTATTAATGAAATTATCACACTATTAAATTAACTAGGTCATGTGCTTGTCATGTATATATTCTACAAATAAAGCAAATAAAGTGTTTCAGATTGAGAAACTAGGAAAATGAAGTGGCCATATATTAGGCAAAAATATTTAAGATATGCAATTCAGAACCACTTGTAGGAGTGACGAACAGGACAGTAGTAAGTACATCCAAATTACAGCTGTGGTGTTTTTGTTCTTTTTTAAAGAGATACTTTAGGCAAAGCTAATATACTTGCTACAAATCTGACAAATTACAAGCTGATCACTACCTGACATGAGCTCAAGATTACAATTTTTAAACATAACTTTACAGAACTGTTACCACGAGTTGGCCACTAACTCAATCTAATCTGGTTTTGAGCAGTTTTCTAACTATGAGTAATAGCTACAGACAACACAAAAACATTCTCTACCTGAGGCCCAATAAACACTCTGTATTTGTTATCAGGGCTGTCTCCTCCAATTAAGAAAGAGTTGGGTCCTATCTGCTGCAGCAAGTACAGCCTGGCTCGCATAACCTTGCTGACACGGCGATTTGTTTCCTCGGGGCTGTAGGGAGAGACTCCATCTGGAGACGTGGCTCGTCGAGGTGGTGTTACTCGTCCACTCTGAAACTACACAAGTGGTACCATCACAAGCACTGTCAGGACAATAGTGTGGTTAATTAGGTGTTAGGCATGGTGTGGGGGTTTTATGGTGGTGGTTTTAGTTTGTTTTTTTTTTTCCTTCAAATGGTAGAAGGAGTATCCCCCAAACTTTAAACTACTACTACCTGCTTAGACCATATAGCTCCAAAAGGACTACTTTCATTCCATGCCTAGAACTCCAAGGCAGATGAAAAACAAATTTTGTAACTGAATTTTTGTCTGACTTTATGACAGAAAAGGAGTCTTTTCAATTGCTTCTGTTTTCAAGTCTTCATTGGCTGCCTTATCATATTACTACTGAGTTAGCAAGTATAATTCAATCAGAATATAATATATTTGTGACTCCACACAGGAAATTATGTAAGACTATAAAATTAATATACTTCATAAAGAAGAAATCCTATGACTACAGTTTACAAGAGGAAATACATGGCCAATGAAGAACAAAAGTTTAAGAAATCCCAAAGGAAAGAAAAAAGGATATAGCTTCCTCTCTTTCACACAATTAAAGCAACTTCCAGCTCAGGGAGGGTTTTTTTTTTTTTTTGTTTTGTTTTGTGTTTCCCCCCCCCCCATGATCAAAAATTCAAATGGCACAAACCTTTTTTAAAAATTTTATTGATTTAAATTCTGTATGTTTCTAATATTATGAAATGCATTAATGACTTTGTCCAATTTAAAAATCATCTACTTTGATTTATATCTACTTTGAATTTTATATTATGTTGTAGGTTATAAATTACTCATTATCTATCAGCTAAGTAAAAGATAGCCTGAACTTACAAGGTTTCTTATGTGAATGGCTAATAAAACCATAAAACAAAGAAAAACAATCAAATGAAAATGGATCAAAGGCTAAATTAGCTAGCTTGGCATGTTGTTGTGTGGGTTTCTTTTTTTTAACCTTTCAATTTCTCTTGTCAAGAGGAAACAAGCATTGCTGCAGTGCTGCAACTTGTGATATTCGTCCCTAGTTCAGAGGAAAGTATATATATTTTAATTGATTTTGGGAAACCTTGTTTAGAGTAGTGGTACAATAATTAGATCTTATTCTTACCCTAATTGCACTGTGAAATTGTAGACAAGTCAACAGCAGCTTAACTGTGGATGAACGTTTTTATAACAAGCAAACCCACTAGATACTATTGCTCAAAATGTTATACTCTTAATCTTCCTCAATGAAGCCAGTTACTCTTGCCTTAAACATTCTAATCCAAATCTTTGCCTTTTAACCATGTGTAAACCTAAATCTTCCCTAATCTGTACATGTTCTGGAATAGAGGATCACGAATAGCATGCCAGTGACATTTGTCTGCAGGAATCTTAATCCAGTCAATAATCTTGTCCCCAAAGGCATACACCTGCCTGTAGAACTGACATGCAAAACTGAAGGAAAAAACCCAAACTATTAGCACCTTTTTGCGCAAATCAAGCTAGGAGAACATACATGTCTTCATGACTGAGTATCTGTATTTCTTCATTTATTTGCTAAGAATAAAAATTGAAAGCAGGTGTTAATTAAAAAGAAAACACACATCCAAGAGGAGAAAATAAAACTTCACATGAGAAACCTAACCTGATATTTGGTCTGCATATCTTGCTCAAGTGATACCCTCTGAGAAGCTCCTCCTGTCAGCACCTTGCCCTACACAAGGCACCAATTGCCTCTATGATCAAAAGACTGTAGACTATAGCCAAATTAATAATTACATTACAGCTTGCAACTTACAGGCACTGGAGACACCCTTTTTCTTCTAACACCTGGTGATTCAGATTTAACAGTCCTAGTAGATGATGAAGAGGAGCTACTAGGAGAAGGACTACGTCTTCCTTTCTGTGTAGGTGAAGGAGCAGCATTTTGTCCTTCAGCTTGAGGTTCTAGGGAGAGTTTGTTCATTTCCAATCCATCTTCTTTCCCAAGGATAGGTTTCACCACCTTGCAGAAATTAAACCATGTATTAGAATTACAAATTGATCATTTTACAGTAAAGCAGTACTGAATTTTGACTCTGAGATGTGGAATATCTCAAGATAACTTTGAGCTGTGTGCCTCTCAGCCCCACACAATTAATGAGATTCCTTCCTGGAAGGTCAAAAAACAAATTCATGTGCCTATGGACAAATTACAGTTATTAGCTGCCGGTGCTTGAAAACACTAAAAAATGTAAAATGGCAGTAATTGAGAATCTGCAGCATCAAAAGCTATCTTAAAAAAACCTGGAAACCTCAAGGGAAGTGTGCTGAAAAGGGAAAACAATTGCAAGGTATGCAGTAACCAAAATGAATTTTAAATTTTTTGAAGTAACACCTGATTTGTGCTATTTGACCCTTTGAAGTATTGCTTTTTTTGTGCACTTCTAAGTATTTTAAGTGCTCTTTCTCATGACAGAAAGTTACCAGCAGAACCCTCTATCTCTGTCCTAGAAAAGCTGTCCCCAAACACTGCATCAACTGGTCTTAGGTTTAAATGAGCACTTCCATCAAGTAGTACGTGGGAGTCACACTGACCAACACAACTACACTTACAGGTTAATGGCTATTAGTTAACCAGCAATATGTTGAGTGGAATTGTAACTATGCTTAATAAGTTTCAGGTTTGATCTGCCTGCAGTTTCTTAAAATTACTTCTAAGCTATTCATACAAAAGCACTGCTGAAAAGGCTAATGGAGCACACTAGCATCCAAAATTTAGCAGGGTTGAGACTTGTGTCCTCAGCTTAGTTTTGTTTCTGGTTCTAGGAAGGTTACAGTTTCTTTTTTCATCTAGCAAAATTTCCAACACATAGAAAATGTTAACATTTTCAAACTAAGAAAAAATGAAGTCATGACACCCCTAAGAAAAAAGGGAGAGCCAAGTACTACTACAGTGCAGTTTTGCACTCAGACTAGTTTTCAATTACTTCTCTTGTTGACATTAGAGGGCAGTGTTGTCACAGTATTATTTTATATTGCAAAGCGCAGCAAAACTACACGCCTTTTTCCAAAAATAAAGCTTAATAAATGCTCACATTTCAATAAGTCAGCTACAGTTTCCTGTTACACAGCTCGTAAAAAATGAACAGGGGGACCATAATTAGAAGTATGCAAATTGTTAAGATAAAGAGATTTCTAATAGAAAAAAATTAAGGTATTTTTATTTGTAATAGCTGTCACAGATATTGCCCTTCTACCAGTGCTACTGACCACAGGGCCTCTCCTGCTTCTTCTTTCCAGCCATTCATGTTTCCAGGCTGGCATACACGTTGCCTTGAGTTTCTCCCTGATCATGCGCTCTTCTGGGCGGTCATCCATCTTCTGCAACCCCCTGAGGGTTTCTTTATTCTCCATGTCACGACTACAGCAAGGAAGAAGAAAAATATAGTCATAAACACAGTTTGTTTTGGTTAAAGTATAATACCACAGCACTCTGAAGCTTTGTGCCATCCTATTCTCCCTCTCCTTACAATACAGCTGCTAAAATGTTATTTCCCACCGACTGGGGCAAGCCTTTTATTTGTTATGACTAATTTGCTAGCCTGCTGGTCACAGCATACCTATTTAGAAGGCTGTTTCTTTAAAATGTGTGTACTGCTTGTAATGTTGGACAATCAGTAAAAAGGCAGGCCTTAGAAAATACTAAACCAATACAAAAATCACCCTATATGTCATCTCATTCACTAAAAGTTTCACAAATGTTTTGATAGTCCATGGATTCTTTGGCAATTCAAAAACTGCAATCTTTATTTTAAAACCATTTGTGAAATGAATATAAATTAATGGTGAAAATTTTCCATCTTCTTAGGATATATACGCATGAAACAATGTCCATAGTGCCTCTTCTTATACATGAACTCCTCCCCCAAAAAAGAGGACTCGTAAGCTAATACACAATAAGTATGTTTAAACTAGATACAAGTCATAAAAGTAAGGCTAATGGCCTTGAAAGTTGCTTTCTGACTGATGACTCAAAAGCTTTTCAAGCTAGTCAGCTGTAACTATAGCAAAATTCAAGCAAGTTTGTATCTGTACATGAAAGCGTAATCCAGCTCGGCTCCTAAATTTTGACCTACAGCAAAGTAGTTGCTTGTGATTGCTGGCAACAACAACAAAAGCAAAAAAATACAAAAACACTTCAGACACTGAAAAACAAATACAAGCAGTCTGGAAGATTTCCTAATTCTGTTGAGCTATCTACTAAATCACCAAGAAAACCACATTCTTAAGCAGCAGCACATGATCCCCACCCACCTTTTTGAAGTCAGCCATCTTTAAAAATAAGCAAGCTTGAGTAAGCCCACTCTTGGAATGAAATTTATTTCACAAATAAAATCCCAACTTAAGGTGGAAGATAAATCTGTATAATAACTTAATTACAATAGTTGCTTCACATGTGCAGTCTTTACCTTCTAAAATGTATAATTATGCAGTTAAAATTACATTTATGTATTGTATGATGACCTGCTACACATTCATTCCAACAAGATCATGTTAAAATTACAATTCCTATCTTCATCAGTGATGTATTACTGAGGTTCATTTATCACAAATCTCTACTTAGAAAAATGACTAATTTTTTGCTGGTCAGAAGGAGGACTCGTTGTTATTATTTTTTCTCTCATTGTAGAGACAAAGGAAACAAAGTATTCTGAGGCAGGAAATAACTCTTCCTGTTCAGTGCCGAAATGTAATAAACAGATGGATACTGTAAACAAAATACTTTTTCTTTCAAGCAACATCTTAACCTACTCTTATTAACTGATTTTAGACACTCAGAACTGTGTCTAGCTGTTACAGACTTCAGAACTTTGATAGACAGAAACACAATGCCCCTCAGAACTGATGTTCTTTTTCAGAGGTTAAACATTAATGCTTGCGTAACCTTAATACAAGTGACAAAAATTATTTTTGTCCCAGCATTGAATTCCATACTATTGCTTTCTGGAAACAGAGACAAAAAAATTATAGTGATAATTCATGAAAAATAAAGATATTATAGTAGCAGGTGGAGTCTAAATGAAGAATATGTCTAAAAGTTCATAGGTGAAAAACTACTGTGTAAAAAGGATCAAGTTTACATTGTTTTCCTCAGTCAAAAGAATTGGTTCAAAGACAAAGATCTTTGCATTAGAGCAGTCCAGCTCTGAAATAATAAAGGTCCAAGTTAAAAATATAGAAGTTACTCTGTTTTTTATATTTGGTTTACACCATGGAATAACTCACTTGCATGAATACTTTGTATACAAGACAGAAAACACTATCCCGGAGGTGAAAGAATGACACAGTATTTCATCTGTTCATATAACTATGATTAACTTCCCAACTGATGAAAAAAAAAAAAAAAGTATTTTAGAGGCCCATGGACTTGAATTTATGAACAATGTAACACAACAGCAGAGGCTTCACAATCGGTGCTTGTTCTCTAAAAGGCAGAAGCAGTTATCTTCCTCTCATGTGACAGCTAAACTGATCTGCTCTGGCCTGCACAAAGAACTCTTGTGCTCTTCCTCCAGACAGGTGGGAAAGACTGAGCCTGCAAGCTTGTTCAGTAAATTCTGCAAAAAGATAACTGTTTTTAAGTATTAAGTGCATTTGTTTACAGAACACAGTCTCTGAAGTGTTCAAGAACACTTCCTTTTTTAACTCGAGCTTGAATAAAATACTTAATAAAGATTATTGTACTGTTGGAACTGTGGAAAAAATATTTTTCCTGTAACTGCACAAAGCTGCTGCATGTTGCAGGACATCCTCATTTTGTGGCCCTGAACCTGCAGGGGTTTTGTTTGGTTGGTTTTTTATGCATGTAGGGTTTTTGGGGTGTTTTTTGCTTGTTTGTTTCAGGGGTTTTGTTGTTGTTATTTTGGTTTGGTTTTCATTATTATCATTACCTTAACCTAAAGTAAAGCCCCTCATCTATTCCAGGCAAAAGCTGAAGTTTTCCTACATTACAACATCTAGGTTGCCAGTCTTCATACCATTACCTCAGCACAAAATAAAAATAACAGCAAAGTGTATTCCACCGAGGACCTGATCCTGCAGCGAGAGCATTCTGATCCTCACGTAGCAAAACCTATTCATAAGTGAAGGTAACGATGTGCTGAGCAGACTGTTGCCACGTGGTGGGCTATTGGAGCAGCAGTGACGGAGCCAAGGAGCAACCAAAACACCAGTCTCAGAGCACATGCTGGCCTGGACCAGGGAGTCTGACATTTCTCAGCAGCCCACCACTATGCTTCATCAGGAAGCAAGGATTTTGTTCTTATGTATTTCAGCTTTTAATGAACCAACCAAATAGAAGGCTTTTTTTCCCAGATAACGTTCAACTTTTAAACTTTGCTTATCCCCTAGGCAGCATTGCAGATCTTTTAAATCCTTTTTATTAGCAGGTTTAAACCAACCACTTCTGTATTATTACTCAATAATTTTCAAAGAAATACACCTAAATTGTAATTCTAAAGAACTGAGAAAGTTCAAGAGTGTGATGACTACTGTTTTTTAATACGTAAGCTCAGTGGTCTGCATATTAATAACCACATTATTCACTTTGGATTGTTAGTTTCAAGAACTACAAATACAATAAGATTAATGTACTGCATGGAAACAGTCTACTGCATCTTGTGCAACAGGGAAAGCAAAATACTGCCTTTTGTTTCTGTGTCTTAACTGTGACAACTTGTAGAGAGTAATCGAATAGTTCGTCAGATCATTAAAAACTTGTTCTCTATGGACTAATCATTTAATATTTTAAAACAAGGTGTGCAGTACACATATTATTTAGCAAACTCTTTTGAAATACACAAGCAAGATTTACTTCTTAATAGCTCAGTCTATTTAACACTAATTCTCTGCAAGTATTTTTCTTACAAGGGACATATAATTTTATATGAAAGCTGAATCCTAGCTCAAATTAATTTTCCTGTGCTTCTCAGTGTTAGAGTTAGAAGTTTTGGTCTCTCTGCTGTCTTATATGGGCAAACACCTTTACGCAACAGCCACACTGGACCAGATTTTATTAGCAGCAGAAAAACGGGAGAAAGGCAAGTTTTGAAATAGGAAAGAGGCAATTCACCAGGAAAATGGAAGCTCTGTCTGTTATATCCAGAAATAGCTAGTTATAGGGAGGAAAAAAAGTCATTATCTGTTGTGTTTGGGATTTCTTTGGGTTTTGTTGGGTTAGTGGGGGAGAGGCCGTGCTGAGGGGTGGGGTGGGGTTCTGTTTACCTGTTGTTTTTTAAACATCTTTCTGAAGTTAGCAAAGGTAACTCGCACACCAGCAGTGGTCAAACCATGGGTGACCATGGAAAACACTGATGAACAAAAGCGTTTACCAAGCAGCTCTGTCAGAACAGTCAATGAATTTAACAACAACAGGTTGTGAGGAGAAGAGCCTAGGGTTTGATGGAAGAGCACTGAATGAGACAGAACAAACATGGTGAAAATTATGTATTTTACTTAGTGCGAATGCCACATACCCTAACAATCGATACCGGAGGTGAGCTTAGATAGGACATACATGGCTTGTTTTGGGGACCTTAAGCAAGAGTATGGGCACCCAGCTATGTGTAACCCCAGCCTGGTCAGGTCTGAGAATGCTGGGCTAGTCAGGTGTCCCAGGGGCGTGCTAGGAGCATCACTCAGTGTGGGGAGCAAGAACAAAAGAGCTCGCCATGCCCTCAACAAAGGTCAGCTATTAGCGTTTTAGATAATTTCTTGCCACAAACAGTTCCAGTAGCGCTCACAGTTTCTCTTTTTATATTAAGTATTTTTAATGATAAAAATTCCTAAAAAATCCAGATCAACATAGGCAAGTCATGGTCCCTACTTCTCCCATTCCTTCTCCTCCTGATCCACTACTGCTGGCATGTATCATCTAACCATTTGTGTCCATCCTACAAAGCAGATCAGGTATGGCACATTCTATTGAAGTGAAAAACTTAACAGGGAACTTTGTCAGGGAACTTTTCAGTTTTAATGGCAGCAACTGCCACTCAAAAACAGCACTGAACTCACTACTTCATAGAGACTTCATAGATAATGAATTGGCTTCCTAAAACATTTGTCTAAAATTCCTGGAACTTTTTTCAGTGTGAAATTAAGTTCTGTTCTTCTGTTAGAGTACCTGAGAAACAAAAAGGAAAACAATCATATTTCTCTTTCCTAGCTGACTCAGGTTCTCCAATAGTTTCTAATCATCTTCTCTTCAGAATAACTTCGGTTCCCTTTACTTTGCCAACAAGCTCACAGGGGCTCATGAGTAGTAAACACTGAGTAGTACTCTACATCCACTGTTTGCCTTTCACTGACATTAAAATATCTGCCACTTTCTTATGCCATTTAGATGAATCATTAACA